ATACAGACCCACACTAACACGCAGACACATGCACACAGACATACAGATCCACACTAACATGCGCAGACAGATGTACAGACCCACACTAACATGTGCACAGACATACAGACCCACACTAACAGGCGCAGACACACATACAGACATACAGACCCACACTAACACGCGCAGACACACATGCAGACCCACACTAAAACATGCAGACACATAATAACACATCCAAACATAAATGTGCACACATAGGCAGCAATGCATGCTGACACTAACGCAGGCACATATACAGAGACACATGATCATATACATACAGTAGCACATGCAGACACATACACAAACACATGCAGATGCACACACGTGCACAGAAATGCATGCAGACACAAATGCACATAGATCATAGAATCCCTACGATGTGTAAACAGGTCCTTCTGTCCAACAAATTCGCACCGACCCTCGGAGCATCACCACCAGACCAGACTGATCCCCCTATAACCCACTAAACTAGGCATCCCTGGACACTATGGAGCAATTTCCCATGGCCAATCCATCCTAGCCTGCACATCTTTGGACTGTGGGAGGAAACTGGAGCACCTGGAGGAAACCCACGCAGACACAGGGAGAATGTGCAAACTCCACACAGACAGTTGCCCGAGGGTAGAATCGAACCTGGGTCCCTGGTGCTGTGAGGCAACAGTGCTAACCCCTGTGCCACCATGCCACCCCTAATCTGTGCACACACACCCACAGACACCAGCGAATGGGTCTTGCTGCGCTTTCTCATTCCTGCAATGACAAATGCAGCTCACTATGAGGCTGCAAATAGTTCACATCCTAATGTGATGCGAAGGTGTGGCCAAGCCTGGGGCCCAGGCTCCCCCTCGGACTGGGGCAGAGACAGACCTCTGCACCTCGGCCAAACATATAACACCCAGGCGACAGCGGCCTGTGATGGGGGCGTGTTCGCTGGCCTTTGGCCACTGCCTTCCCAATCAGCCTGCTTCCCAAACCATCCCACCCCTATCTACTCACCCCCATTCCAGTATTGGAACCCTCTCCTTAAAAGTCCCTCGGCACAGGGGCCTTTCTGGGCTGGGCCCAGCATGTGATGCCCACCCCTTGAACTGAGGGAAGGGGTTTAACAGTCAAATGCATTTAAATTCTCCCCCACCACGTGCTGATTCCCAACCCGATTTACCAGGCTGGTTTCAGGGGTGATGGACATCGGTGATGAGGAACTTTGAAGGAGTCGGGGTACTTAGAGAGGACCGGGGTTTGCCAGACAGGGTACAGAGGTAGATGCTGTTTCTGCTCCTGAAAGGAACCAAACTACCCACCCGGTGACATTAAAGGCGGCTCAGGGGTTAGCGCTGCTGCCTCCAGGGACCTGGGTTGAATCCCACCCTCGGGCTACTCTCTGTTTGGAGTTTGCACATTCTCCCTGTGTCTGCATGGGTTTCCTCCGGGTGCTCCGGTTTCTTCCCACAGTCCAAAGATGTGCAGGCTAGGGCGGTTTGGCCATGCTAACTTGCCCATTGGGAAATGTAGGGGGTGGATCTGGGTGGGACGTTCTTCGGAGGGTCAATGTGGACTTGATGGGCCAAATGGCCTGCTCCCACAGCTGGTGGTGGGGGTGGGGTTCTACGATTAACAATACACCAGTGACTGAGCTGAGTGTCCCCCTCAGACGATTGTGAATCTGTGGAATTCTAGACCGCAAAGGGCTGGGCTCCATCAGGGAGTATGTTGAGGGCCTGGACGGATGGATTTGTGATCCATCAGGAATGGAGGGACGTTGTAGGGTTGCTGAGTGAACTCCAGCACTGCCAGTGGCTGAGCACTCTCACCCCGCTCTCACTGGGGTGGGGATGGAGGTAGTGGTCTGTATGTCTGTATGCATGTATGTGTGTGTCTGCGCGCGTTAGTGTGGGTCTGTATGTCTGTGTGTGTGTCTCTGCGCATGTTGGCTCGGGCTCTGAAGAAGTTGAGCAGATCGAGTCTGAGTTAGGAGTGGGGGGTGGTAGTGGGAGTGAGGGGGAAGTGTGAGGAGGGATGGAGGGAGTGGTTTGGGGTTGTGGGGTTTGGCGCATTATCATTGGTCTGGGAGGGGGCTGAAGGAATCGAGGCGATCGAATCTGAGTTAGGGAGCATTGGGAGAGGAATTGGGAGGGGTGGTGGGAGTGGAGTGGGGATAGACTGAAAATGGGGGGTGAGTGAGAGGTGGGATTGGGAAATGGAATTGAGTACAAGAGATGGGATTTGGGGTGGGGGAGAGGGATTGGGAACAAGAGTTGGGTGTGGGAGATGGGACTGGGGGGACAGGGAGGTGAAATTAGGAGATGGGATTGGGGTGATTGGGAGGTGGGATTAGCAGATTGTGGGGAGCGGGAGGTTGGATTGGGAGATAGGATTGGGACAGCGGGAGGTGGGGTTTAGGGGGTGGAAGGTGGGATGACGTGAGAGTGAGGTGGGTTTGGAAAATAGGATGGGGGGAGGGTGAGGTTGGATTTGGGGAGTGGGAGGTCTGAGTGGGAAGAGGGATTGGGAAATGTGATGGGGAGAGGGAAGTGGGATTGGGAAATGGGATGGTGGAGGGGGAGGTGTGTTGGGGGAGTGGGAGGGTGATTGTGAGGGGATGGAGTGGAAGGGGAATGTGGGGTTTGGGATTTGATAGTTGTGGGATAAGCAGGTTAGGAAATTGATGCGCGATCCAAATAGTTTATGTGGGGGCTCAGATACGTGGGGGGAGGGTTGGAGAGTGTGGGATATGTGGGGCTGTAAGATATGGGGGTGTATGGGATGATATGGGCCTGTGAGAAATGGGGTGAGTGTGTGTTATGTGGGGAATTGGGATATGTGTGGATGTGGAATACGAGGGAGTGTGGGTTATGGGGAAGAATGGGATATGGGGGTTGTGTGGGAAATGGGGCGGATGTGGGATATGTGGGGCTGTGGGATATGGGAGAGTGTGGGATATTTGGGGCTGTGGGATACGGGGGAGGGTGGAATATGGAGGAGTGTGGGATACGGGGGAGGGTGGGATACGGGGGAGTGTGGGATACAGGGGAGTGTGGGATGCGGGGGAGTGTGGGATACGGGGGAATGTGGGATCCGGAGATTGTGGGATACGTGGGGCTGTGGGATACGGGTGGGGAGGGGGCGGTGCGTGGACAGAAACAGTTCTCCCGGGGAAGTTGAGCTGGAGCTCGGCGCGTGGAGGAGGCAGCGGGCACGAGGCTTTGGAAAGTCGCACCTGGGTGCTGCATCCTGCAGCAGCGTCAGCGTCACCCAAAGGAGATGGTGGGTGGGGGCTGGGTGTGGGAGAGGGGAGCAGCTCCTGAATGAGCCTTGGAGCAAGGTGTGAAATGTCACGACAGGAAGAGAGAGGGAGAGAGCGCCTGTTTAAAAGGCGCTGGGTGCTCTGGGTGAGGGCAGGACGTGGGGCTGTCGGATTTTACCCTCTCTCCTGTTTGCCTCCTGCCCCTCCCACCCCCAGTCGGCGCAGATGGAGACATTCCTAGGCACGTGGCCTGGGCCCATGACCCGGGGCTTGGCGCTGGTGCTGCAGGGCCTGGGGGTGCAGCGTGAGGAGCTGAGGGAGAGTGAACAGCAGCT